GGGGGGGTGTGATGAAGGGTGTATCAGTGTCTTATCTGTTCCCTATCTGCATCTCCTGTAGAATGCATTCATTATACATCCAGCATGCTGCTAATTATTAGGTTTTATCATCATTTGGTGACCTCTGCGCTCTCTATGTTCAGGTCTTCCAGGAGGTGGTCCGCTTCCTGCACAGCTTGGCGGCGGCTAGTAAGGATTGCGCCATGGTCATGTGTGGTCTCAGGGCAGGAGATATTCTGAATAAAACACTGGACAAGCAGAATTCTGATGAGTGGACGTCGAAACTCGGAGACCTCCTGAAAGCCTGTGAGATGTACACCGATGTACACCACAAGATGGCAGCCTGCGTTGTGGCTGGATGTATGCAGGTACCACATCGATATCATAACTCTCCAATTGTTCACGTCACTCTGTAGTCACTCTCCAGGGGACGCTGGAAGCAGGTTTAGTGGTCAGATGACTGCTGTATGCGTACATAGGGGAACCCTTTAATCGGATGTCTGCTTTTTCCCCCTCAATCATTTTATATCTTCTGTTGGGGGGGCCCTCTGGGTTCCCCACAGCGATGATTCCTTGCAAGTATAGACTTAAAGAAAATGAACATGGTGCCATTTAGTCCTCTCAGATCACACAGTATGATTGTATAGGAAGACGTCTTCCTATACCTGTATCCAACATGCAGACATCTTCCTATACCTGTATACAACACGCAGACATCTTCCTATACCTGTATGCAACATGCAGACATCTTCCTATACCTGTATGCAACATGCAGACATCTTCCTATACCTGTATCCAACATGCAGACATCTTCCTATACCTGTATCCAACATGCAGACATCTTCCTATACCTGTATCCAACATGCAGACATCTTCCTATACCTGTATCCAACATGCAGACATCTTCCTATACCTGTATCCAACATGCAGACATCTTCCTATACCTGTATCCAACATGCAGACATCTTCCTATACCTGTATCCAACATGCAGACATCTTCCTATACCTGTATCCAACATGCAGACATCTTCCTATACCTGTATCCAACATGCAGACATCTTCCTATACCTGTATGCAACATGCAGACATCTTCCTATACCTGTATGCAACATGCAGACATCTTCCTATACCTGTATGCAACATGCAGACATCTTCCTATACCTGTATGCAACATGCAGACATCTTCCTATACCTGTATGCAACATGCAGACATCTTCCTATACCTGTATGCAACATGCAGACATCTTCCTATACCTGTATGCAACATGCAGACATCTTCCTATACCTGTATGCAACATGCAGACATCTTCCTATACCTGTATGCAACATGCAGACATCTTCCTATACCTGTATGCAACATGCAGACATCTTCCTATACCTGTATGCAACACGCAGACATCTTCCTATACCTGTATGCAACACGCAGACATCTTCCTATACCTGTATGCAACACGCAGACATCTTCCTATACCTGTATACAACACGCAGACATCTTCCTATACCTGTATACAACACGCAGACCTGTATACAACACGCAGACATCTTCCTATACCTGTATACAACACGCAGACATCTTCCTATACCTGTATACAACACGCAGACCTGTATACAACACGCAGACATCTTCCTATACCTGTATACAACACGCAGACATCTTCCTATACCTGTATACAACACGCAGACATCTTCCTATACCTGTATACAACATGCAGACATCTTCTTATAACTGTATACAACATGCAGACATCTTCTTATACCTGTATACAACATGCAGACATCTGCATGTTGTAGACGGGTATAGGAAGCGATGGATTACTAGAGCTCCATGTTATGCCCATATCAAATGATCCTTACACTCCCATAAATCACACTTTTCAGAATTAAAGGAGAACTAGGGGGTCAGTGCTTTCCCCATAGTTCTCCCAAGGGTCACAGGAGGACATAAACTAGCATCCTCCCGTGACCCAAAGCTCAGTGTATCGCGAGCTAAGGCTCCCGGTATACTGAGACCGCTGCAGCCGGGACGGATCCCGACATTACTGTCGCGATCCACCCAGCTGCATGATTGACAGCTGACTCTGCCCATCTAGAGGCAGAGCCAGCTGTGCCCGCCCCCTCCCCCGTCCGTTCTGCCAGTCGGCTAGAGGATCGGAGGGCGGGGATCCCTGCAGGGAGCCGTGAGTGACGGTCACGGCTCTCTGCAGGGACATGATCGAGAAGTGAGCGTGCGACGGTATGTGTTCCCGATCTACTGAGCTGACGTGTGACAGTTTCATTGTCACACGTCGGCTCGAACTATGAGGCTGAGTGAAAATCACTCACCTCATAGTTCTCCTTTAAGCCTTCAAGGAAGCGTCATACTCAGCCAGTCCTCTAATACAGGGGTTCTCAACCTGTGTAACCTCAGGACCCACATTTGTCCTTGGTCATTAAGTCGCAACCTAAGTCGCACTGCAATGGAACGCGCGGCATTAGGGTACTGCGTGTTCCGGTGCGGGCGTACAGACTGTGGGTGGGAGGTGCGTTTGGAATACCATTTAAATGAATAGCAATGCAACACACCTCCCACACCAGAATGCATGTAGTGTGAACGGGCCCTGAAAAACACTGACAGACACACACAACCACGGACACAATCTCACACACTCACAGACATTCTCACATTCACACTCTAAAAAAGATTTAAAGTGACATTAAAGGATAATTTCCTCCCCAATGGTAGTGTAAGACCTTACCTTAAATAATGCCTCTTGATCCGATCATCTTCTTCTTTCCAGTAGTTTTCAGGAGTCCCTCCAGCGCTGGTACCGGTCTCAGAAATCCGATCTTCTTCTTTCCTGATGTTTTTATCTGTCCCTCCAGCGGTGCGGCGGCTCTCCGATCCTCTGAGCTTGCAGGCACTTCCGATCCAGTGGTGTCTGCATGCGGGTGCACGCGTCCATAGACTTACCTTGCGTCTCTACTCGTCTCCCGTACGAAAATCCGAACTGCGCATGCGCCCGCCCCAAGATGCTTTGCGGCCGCCCGAGCAGTTTCGGATTCTCGGGCGGGAGCGTGTAACGAAAACAAGGTAAGTTTAAACCGTGTTAAACCGTTTAAAAAACAAACAAACTTTTTGCATGTATGTACTGCTTGATAGCAGTAGATATAGGCAAAAAAAAACGGAGGGTTTAGAACCCCTTTAATTAACTTTACGAGAACTAGAGTAGATCCTCAGCCTGGGGTACAGTGTGTGACGGAGCTCCATCCATATGTGCATTGCTTGTACAGCTCCCTTGCACGCCCGGTAGAGGTGTCAGGAGCCAGAATGTGACGTCACTCCGGTCCGGACACCTCTACGGGACATGTGAGGGAGGTGTAAGCAACGCACGTATGGATGGAGCTCCCTTGCGGCCATACCCCCAGCCCACCTCAGACTGACACTCCAGCGCCGGGCAGCATATTTTAAATGGCTGCTCGGCGCAAGAACTAACAGTGCTGCGCTAGGGGGAGGCAGAGGAGCCTCTCACCTAGAAAAGTGGAAGGCATGCGGCGACCCGCTGAACGCGGGCTCGCGACCCACCAGTTGAGAACCAAGGCTCTAATATGTGTTTTGTCTTTATACATCTTCCTGGCAGACTGTCCTCGCTCAGATAGATGAACACAGGCTCCGCTATCAGAAATTGACCGTTCCTCTCCTGGATGTGTTCCTGCGAAGTCTGGCTGGAGGTGAGCGTTCTCCATGACAGACACATGGTACCCCTCTGGGCTAATACACTGAGAAGGTTCTTCCATCTCTTGGAGATTACAGCAGCGAGATCCCCCCCCC